TTCTAATTCATACAACACTATCCAAGAATATTCGAAAGGATAAATGAAATGTATGGTTGGAGTGGAACTCCTTGAATGAAACAAAGAAGTGAACATATTTGCTTGACCAAATAAAATGTACCAAAATCAATGGAAACCACACAGTATTATCTTCCTGTCAATGCTCGTAATAAAAGAGCACGCCTAATGTAAAACTTCAGATTCGATTGTCTCGAGAAGTAAATTTATTTTAGTACTTTGTCCACGTACTGTTCCATATTGGTTCAATTAATGCTAGAATGGAGAAGGATGGATCAAATAGTCGAATCCGTCTTCGAATAGCTCATTTATTTCGCGGTTTTTGAATCCGGCTACCGAACGCCGTTTTAACAGACTAGCAAAAGTTTGCTCAGTTAATTTAATTGAACGTCTCTGAAGAGACACGTGCTGCGGACGCGGCTCGAATTTCAGTTGGTTCTGATTTACGATTCATAATCGACACAAGCCGTGTGGGATTAGCGAAATAACGGTACATATAGCGTTAATCGGGACCGCGCGTTGCAAGTCCAGATGAATTGATTTTCATGAACAGCCCAGGCACAATTACGCTGTCGGTCGATTGTTACTATAAATTCCATTCGAAACATAATTATTCTCGCTGTTGTGAAGTATAATTGGGCATAGAACGGTGAAGCCTTGAAAGGTAAATTGGTTTACAAAATAAACGCACTATGCTAATTGTGTAATGATAATAATACACAATACTCCAAAAGTAAAGTTATTTGACAAACTTACCGCAGTGAAGATACAGTAGGTCAATGAAAATTATTGTATCGAATTATATAAATTTAACGTACAATAATTCCACCTGCCTATGTTCAAAATTATACCGTAGACGAAACTTCTAATACGGATAAAAGAAAATTAATCAAGATGAGTTGCGTCGTCTGCGCGATTGTCGAAACCATCGGTATTAATAGGGTTAAATGAAATCAATCTAACTAAACTTGCAACTACATATAGTGTTGCAAGTGCATACGATCACCACGATTCTTATAGAAAGAGAAACATTTATGGCAGGGACATTTCCCCAACGTAACAAGCCAAGGCCTTCTGCTCCTAAGTTTGCCGTGAACAGTCGACGACGATCATAACCTGGGATTCTTGGACAACTGAAAACCCCGCGCAGAACAATCAAGGATTTTTAACTAATTTACAATATATCCCTGTAGCTATCTTCCACGAATTTCAGGTCTACATCGGGAAGAGAAACTTCACTACATCGCTCTCCCTTCCATTAATACCAACTAATTTACCACACCCACGCAAACAGCAAACGCCAATCATAAACAAACACAACCACCACTCTGACACACCTATTAACAAATAGAAACTGCATACAAAAGCAATATAGAACCGAACAAACATCAAGAAGGTCGTATTGGAAACAATTACGAACGACAGTCCACTTCGACAGTCACCTGTGATCACACACATTCGTCACATATTCTCGACAAAATTAATTTTGTTAGACAAATAAATTAGACAATTCTCGTGACTATTATTGCGAAGCATAGCAACTCGAGTCAAATCACGATATTACGAAATAATATATACAGGAGTGGAATGAAATCGGTAGATACACACAGGATTATTGGACAATACGCGCGGTGTAACTGAGCTGCGGCGAGCATTTCCGAGAAATTACTCGAGTCTCGAGCACGGGAAAGGAATGCACACGTATCTCCGAACGTCGAGAATCGCCTTTACCCGGAGATCATCCGGGTGAATCCAGTGCATGGTAGCCAGGGACCGTGGCTATGTAGCCGGCAAAGTGCGTGCTCCGCTCGTTGCAGGTGGTTCGCCGTGAAATCCGAGGCGATAAATTTCTGTCTTAACGATACCCACCCACTTTCCAGCGGGATATCCGACGCGTGGGCGTGTATCGAAATGGAAACTGATAATCTGCCATTGAGACCAGAAGGGGTGGGAGGTTGACGACCTCTCTTCGAGGCTGCACCGTAGGGCGCGATCGTGCAGCCGTGCTGGCCATCGATTCTCCATAAATGACCGATGTCGTCGAATCCAGAGGAAATATGGCTGGATGGGGTGGAGGGAGGGGGAGCGGGAACTTCTCCTATTTTTCGGTCTGGGTACTCGACGATTTATGCCCGGCCTTTCTCGTGCCTGTCTCTAGAACTTTCAACAAAGCCACTGGAACTTCCACAGAAATGTTCCGAACACGACCAGTACCGCGAAGGTGACGTTTTTAACAATCAACCGGGTACAGGCATGTTTGCGGGACTGTGAGCTTCCGGTCACTCTCACGTTTCTGTTACTTTGTGAACCCAATTAATATGGGGCCGCGTGAACAAATAAAGGAACTTTTCGATTTTTCGGACAGACAGATGACAACAGTGATAGCTAGACTGCGGATTTTTATGGAAATTCAAAATTTCTGGTATGAATATCTGACAATTCGACAGTATTTTGAATTCTACAGTGGAGGCTTTATTACCTTGAGAGTTACATATGAATAGTATTAAACTTTATTAAAATCTTTATGTTAGTGATAACTTTGTAATTAATAATAGTCTTTGAAATATTGTGTGTTTCAACCGATAGTTTTATACTCAATTCTCTTCTCGTTGGGTTGGTTACTGAGAGATGTGTCCATTTTTTAAGAATAGAACAGACTGTCTGCAGTATAGAACAGCGACACGACGAAAATTGTTTAAGTTGTAGCAACTTTAATAATGACCGAATCTCAGTAATTTTTTTAAGCTCCATTCGCACAAGAGCGGCTACTCTCGTGACAAGAAACACTTTTCCAGAAAGAAAGTTTGGAACTCATTAAGAGATGGACAAAACAAGTTGGGAAACATAATGAAAAAAAATATACGTTTCAATCCTGTGGACAGTAGTACGGGGTTTACTTTGTTAAATGTCTCTTTATCTCCTTAACTTTTTCTCTCGTACCAACTGCCTGTCAGAGAAATTCTAATAAGCATAATTCTTAAAACTATCTGGTTTCCGAAGTAGTTGTTAATTAAAGTTTAGAGCACCACTTAATTTTTAATATGATCGCTACTGGAAGTTATCACGGCCCGATGTATCATCTAATTATGTAGTTACCGAGCTGTCACATATTCAATACCAATTTCTCGTGATATAACTGGCGTTTTTTATATTCTACTGCAATTCCTAAACATTTTACTGTGTATGATGATTCAAAGGAATCAAATAGCGATGGAGTCGCGTCACAAAGAATAGTCACTGCTAATGCTTCCCGTATAAAAAAATTCCCGTTTGTATTTACACCACTCTCGTATATATTATAATACAACTCGATATAAATTCCAGTTATATTAATTCCACCTTTCTTATCAACACTGAACCACGCGTTACAACATATACAACAATATAACGCCACAGAATGTATGCATCGAAAAACAGTGCTTGTGGAACTCGTGTTTATTACAATTTTCAGATACAAAGGGATATTTGGTAACTATCTAACAAAATATGAAACAACTACAATTTTAATCATCGTTCAACATCCGCAACAGAGTTCTATAGCAGGTAAAGCTGCTCTCTGCGTGCACCTAATTCCGAGCGCCACATTTCAGCGGCACTCGGAAAACTTTCCCCGAGGTTTCAGCTTTTACCAACGCTGACAGCGTGGTAGACGCAGCCATTGCTGAACCCAGATTCCATTCACTGGTGTATCTCCCATATGTCCGCCCCGCTCGTTACAAATTGCTCGCCTTAACAATCCTGTCGCGGAAGAGATTTCTCACGGAGCATCGACTCCTGTTCCAGATCTCGTTGAGCCCCTGGAGGGGGGAAAAACAAGCTTTACCGTTCAGTATTGTTCGCGAGCTGAGGGATCGTCTTGTTGTCGCGTCGCGAAACTTAGATCGTCGTCTGTCCTCTCGGTGGTATTTCCCATCCTACACGTTAATTATCCCGCTAAATACCACCGTCTTGGGGCCCGATAGGCGTTGATTTACGAGAGAAGCTCGCGATTGCGGACGGCCTAATGCCACTTCATCCCTCTAATCGTATCGCCTCGTCTGCACCCTCCCCCCACTCGCTTTAAAATGCTCTTGTCACATGTCCACGCGAACAAGTCAATTACCAAGATTGCGTTTCCAATCTTGTAAACGGAAATCGATGAACGTAGTTAATAGCCCGTTAATGAACGTTGTCGCGTTTACACGACGTTATTCTTTCAACTGCTATTCCACGCGGCAATCGTGTTACAGGCGACTCTCTCACCCTCCATCGTATCACACGGCAGGTTCGATTCCAATAAAATCTCGTGTCGTTAGCAACGTAATATTAACGCGCGACGAGTTCTGTAATGGTACGCAGTTTTCTTTTTATAGTTATTAGGACATGTACTCTTGATGAACGTCGTGTATGAGAGTAACTTAATCGTGTATAAAGTGAGCTGTAAGGGATGAAGGAAATGAGAACTAAAAAAATGAAATTAACAGAATTCCTTTCGGTTTTTTGGGAAACAATCGACAACAAAATTAATTCCGAAGACTGTAGAAGTCGAGAAAATCGTAAGGCTAGGGGTTAAAATGCAATGCAAATTTTGCAAAATTTTGATTAATTTATCGAATCAATGGAAACATAACAAGGAAACAGTATGAACATAAGGTATCAAAATACTTGTAAGAGAAGACGTTTCTTTCTTGTTTCCTTGTTGCCATTACTAAAGAAACAATCAAATTATAAATCGTGCAGTCATATCTGTAATAAATAATAGTTTGGTTCATTTACAAAACGTTGAGTTTTACAGTTCTGGTATCGATTTACAGGCCTGCTCCGTCAGAAAAGTCTTCGAAAACAGCCAAAAAATTTTCCAGAAGACGTATCGCTATTGAACTAATTCGATGAATGAAAACTGTTTTGAAAATCAATCATGAAAAGTTTCTCCCTATTCCCCCATTGCACGATTCTATCGTCGGAATGCTCACGAGATTACGGTGCTGTTTCTTTTGTTACAGACGGAACAATTCACGGTCTTGTGGCTGTTGTTCGCGATGATAGTCGTGGGTAACATCGCGGTGCTAATTGGTCTGTTATGGGGCAAACGGCGGAAAACGCGGATGGACTTTTTTATCAAGCAGCTAGCATTTGCGGGTAAGTCGCCCCTCCTCTAGTTCCACTTCGAATGCTTCGAACATTTCATTCAAAAGCAATTCAAGTAACACGAATCAATTACCTTTTTCGCAACATACCACGTTCACCATCAGCGTTCGTGTAATCAGGACAAAAATATGTCGACAATCGGAATCGATTATTCATACTTTTCTACTAGCTGATACAAAATTATTCGAGACTACTTCCGCTCACGATGAACTCTGATAATAATTATTTTCGACGCACCTTAAAATACGTCATCGAAATTTTCTATCAACTTTCCTTCGAAAGTAATACGTTCCTGCACTCCAACGGACTCGTCAGGAACACAGTTTCAGCAACGGCTCATTAACACTAGAACTGCCAAAGCAGTCAAGACGACTGGTTAGTACACTCTTCTAACGATGATCAAAATGTTACAACAATGCATTTTCTCAGATCTTTTACAACTTTCATTGCAATACGTATCTGAAGAAACGAGACGATTTATAAATTTGTATATTTTCAGAAGTTTGTCATGTTTATCGATCCCGTCGAAATAGATATATCGTCGGTAGTTCTAGAGTTAAAAAACCCTACGCAATCAGTTTTAGTCCGCTCGCAGCTCGCAGAGGGTTAACGCTGATTCACCTCCGCTAGGATTTGTCGAACATCCCGTTTATACGGCTCGGTTCGAAACGATTCCCCAAGATCACGAACAAAAAAAAAACTGGGATTATGTCATTGGGTGAGGACGATTCGTGCGTAAAGTACGATCGTGTGTCAAGCACGTCGTAAAACGGGTTGGTTATTTTCGACTTTTTCACGTCGAAGTTTCCAAAGTGTATAGAACGTGTGTCGAGCTCGGAAGTTCAAGGGAGAAACGTCCTCCGTTCCCGGCCCGTAGATGAATTTCGATTGCAACACGGTCCCGGTCTCCTTGGGCCGAGTTTAACGAGGTCCAATAAGAACAACCTACCGAATGTAAACACCACCGCGGATTGGTGGAAGCCCCGTTATAGACCCATAATGGTTTATTAAGGGTGTTTTATGCCGCCGTTCGAACGATAATAGAATACCGACTGCGGTGGAACGAGATACATCAGACAGCCCCTGGATAAGAAAGTCGTGAACGTGTAGTGTATTTGTGAATCTTGTCGAGCATGTGTGTCGATTGTCACGAGAGGCACATTGTGGTGTCAATTATTGTAACTTTTGGTGCTGCGCCTGCAACGTTACCGATGAACAGAGTGACACATATTTAGAATTAGATCGAGTAGTGTAATTATAGAATTGTTAATGTGAAGAAAGTGATACGACGTACATTAGTGATGTTCAACGTGAAGTCTGGAACTAATTAAAACTTAACGTGTCTTTCGTCGCCCTGTCAACGTGCCTCTATTAATTACTGTGTGTACTCTGTTAACATACACGCTGGCATGAACGTAACTGCGAGGTTCGATCTAACTACCGTCGCGTCTAACTTACATCAACCTATTGTTTCAATATTTGAGTACGTACATACACCGAACACGAAGTATTTTACGATGAGGAGAAGAATGAAACCAACATGGCGCCGCGAAAACGTGTCTTCCAGTGCAAACGGCTCAATGGCTGACATAGGAATAACCGTAACTGACATTGGCATAAAGAAGGGCTGTCCTGAAATCTTTTGAAATCCTTCCTTTCTCTACTTTCCTCATTCTTTGTCTCGTGTTACGTTTCCCGTAGTATCCGTCTGAGACGGAGCAATTGTGCGTCTTGAAAGACCGCCGCGTCTTTGAGTAGAAGAACCCGAGATGAAGACGCGGTCGTAACTTCGCGGTGGTCCTCGTTCGTTCCTCCTCACTCGAAAAGTCCTGCAACCACTGCCTCGTTACGAGGCTTTCGAATCAAGTCCCTCTGTCGCTGTGATGCTTACGCAGAACGTATCATGTTGCTACGTTATATACCTTTATGTATACGTTGGATAAAATTCTGAGATCTTCGGCACAAATTTCTGCTATCGCTGTGTAAACGATTCAGATCATTTTTCTTGCCAGAAACTTTTTCTCTCTGTCCAGAAGTCTTTCACGTTTCGTGTATTTCGTTGAAATGATATTTATACGGATATACATATAGTACTTCCTTCCTCAGAGGACTTTTTTGGTTAACACATGCTCCTTAAAAGATGATTTCACGTCATTTTCACTCGAGAATACTTAATATATGTACAGTGAGGAACAAAGGTATTTTTACACCTCTCATGTATTGAATATAAACAGTAGTAGCTGTTTTCATGTCCACATTTTTCTTACAAAAGTCCTTCGTCACTTTGAACTTTTTACGAAATTAAACCAACAGAATCTATTAACGAGTAAATTCCAAAAAAGATATTCATACGAGTAATGTTTCAAGATACGAATATCGTAGAAAATGCGTGGAAGAAGGATGGTTCAGACAGTGTTTTACATTACTTCAAGTTCACCGTAACGTGAAGCAATATCCCCTCTAAAACAAGCAAAAGAAAGTTTAAACGCAGATCCGGAAGTGACTCCCTCCGGCCCCGTCTCTCCCGTAGCGAGCAGCCCTTATCGATTCCGTCGGGGACGCTCGTAAACGGTGTTTGCACGTGCAAAAATGCGCCAAAATATAAGTGGCGTTTTACCGGTCGCGTAAAAGCGTGAAAACGTAAACCCACTTGTCCGTCAAATGACAACGGGGCCGCCTGCCACACATAAAATCCATCGAACGCCGCGTAAACGCGGCAGTGTATCGGAAAACGAGTATCGGGACGCGAATTCTCGCTTCTCGCGCGAAAAACCCGCCACCTTAAGTGAAAGAGGGGAAGAAGAGAAACACGGCCGATGGTGAGATCGCTCGCGTATTGCGCCCGAGTAAAAGCGACTTCCGCTTTATCGCGTCCAGCGGAGGACTCTGTTATTGTTTCGCCGGAAGGCGCATTAGGCGAGGAAAAAATAAAACTGAGAAACTGTCGATGTGTTTGTCGCGAGAATAGAAGGAGCAGAGCATTGGAGGTATTGTTTACTATTCATTTATTAGGTGTACAAATTAATTCGTGACCTCCGCAATTAATTACTGACCCGAAATCGCCATCATTTTTCCGAGAGGGGTTTCGTCAACTGTCCGAGAAATGGTGTATAGATATGTGTAGAAAGTGGTGGGGAATATTTTCAAGATTAGATTGTAATTTAGTTCTTTTGTAAATAAACTAAAAACATCAATGAAAAGAAAGTGACGAATTAATTTGTACACCTAATATTTATTTCAGACGGAGATATTCCTTTTTACGACCTACCACCACATAGTTTCTTTGAAACTGTAGATTGAATTCTAGTATAGATCGCAGAATCGAGCAACAGAGACAATGTTCAATTAGAATGGAACAGAGCAATCAATACTTGGCTACCTGAAATCATTGAGATGCAGTTAGTATTAAGTTGTCCCCCAATACGACGATCACTGTCACCCGAGATATCTGCATGCGAAACCCTCGAACAACACGATTGCAATTAACATGCCGAGCATTTGCTGAAATTCGAAGCTGTTGCAACCATTTACGAGCGAATAACGACCGGTTCCGCGACCGGTCTTGAAGCAGAGGCGAGCAATCTTACGGGAGCGTCATAAAATTCAAATTTGTGAACGATCCGGTGTGCTGTCGTTACCCCCGCGAGGACGATAAATTTGCAGTAAATAAAAACGCGAGAGCGTAAAAGTTCTCTACCGCGAGGCCGTACTGCCGCGACAAAGTCGATTAATTCTCGCATCGACACCTGCACCGTGACGATCGATCGCGTAATCTATGTTATTATAGGGTGATAAGTCCAAATCGAATTTCAATACCGAGGAAAATATATGGCCTAGAGGGGGTGCGTTTGACTCCCCGCACCCTGAAATCTCACTCCCCGAGGGCTTTTTTATGTCAGCCGGAATGACACTTCCACGCTCGCAACACTCGACGCGATATCCTTTAAACCGCTTCTTTATAGGCCTCCTCTCACCGCGCCGGGAATCATGCGGCTCCTGAATTATGCGTTTCGTTCTGCTACTGCCATTCGTAAAATGTTTCAACACTGAATTCACTCGAACTTGCAGCATGAAGATACTAGTAATCGGTGAATGTTCAGATTTGTTCGGACCGATTCAGTTTAGTTAACCATTAGTAGAAATATTATAATCTTTTATTATTATTTTTAGATTTACGGTTTACTCTAGATTTGTGTTATACGGTATTAAGAAAGTATACATTTTATCACTTACCATCTACGAAACTTAAGTTGATCAACCTCTCGGACACCTATACGTAGAATGGCTATGCACTAGATACTTCTTTTCTGATCATCTATTTTTCATTTTTCTCCGACGACACGTAACCTCCCATTTCCAAATCTTCATCCCGCACGATCTTAAGGTCGACATTTCTGATAGCACAACAAAGAAAAGGTTTACTGCGCGGTAGTTTGTGAAAGGTTAACTTTGAGGCAAAAAACAAAATTTACATAGTACCTTCCGAAATGAAGGTTAAAAGTCCAGGCCCCAAGGAAGAATTTCGACAATCTCCGGGAAAGGCCGGTTTACACTTAATTGGGCGCGAATTTCTCCGGCGGCAGTTTAAAAGCGGTATTTTGCTGTTAACGAACGCCGCCGTCCCTTTTTCCAGACCGGGGTCGTTTCGATCCGTGCGTTCAATCATTTGTGAATTAAGCGGTGTCCTCCGCGGTGGAAACCGTTTAATAATAGCGCCCCGATTAATCATCCCAGTACGTTGCATTGCATATCTTGTTGCAGATTTATTGGTCGGCCTGATATCCGTGCTAACGGATATAATTTGGCGGACGACGGTGACCTGGCACGCGGGCAACGTAGCTTGCAAGCTGATAAGGTTCATGCAAGTTGTCGTTACCTATAGCTCCACGTACGTGCTCGTCGCTCTCTCCATTGACAGGTACGACGCCATCACCCGACCGATGAACTTCACTGGCAGGTGTAAGTACATTATTCTGTCGATTCATTCATTTTCTCGAGAATATCGGTAGAAACATTTCTTGGCGTGCCAATGAAAAACTAAAGGTTACGAGGTTAGGTTAACTACAGACCACTCGTCTGCCAACTGCTCAGAACTAATTTGAATTATTCTGTCACCATCACCACCTAGTGGAGAATTTTGGAATCTCTAGCGTTTGAACGGACTGTTTGAAGTGGTTGAGTACACTTCCATTGACAGTAAAGTGGCGTGCTATTTTCAAAATGGTAAGGAAAAATATTATTCAGTTGGTTATTAAAAGTGTTACGATGCAGTCGTTGTTGGATTATTCATTCTGAGGCGAGTCGTCTGTAGTTAACAGTTAACATTGACGGAAGTACTCGTCATACACGTTTGCACGTCTATTTGTCTCTCTACTATAATTCTTTATACATCACGTACATTGCCTCACCTTTATTCTCAAATTTGTGCATATTGAATGCAAATCCACTGATAGTGGAACCTTTCTTAGGTCCAACGTAAATGTCCGTACAATCTCTATATGTATACGAAACCTTTGAGTCTGGTATCGTCAGCCTGCACTCATCGCTCGCTATAATGTCATTCGAATCTCTTCCCTATTTTCCGTTTAACGACCCCGTGATCCACGATCTCCCCCTTGCTACCAGATCTTAAAACCGTCTCGAACTTACAATACCGAGGGTGCATTCGATACATTCTCAAAGCTACGAAGCTGCGACGAGGTTATGTATTCACCGCACAGCTACGGAATGGGCATCTGGCCTGGAGCGTCGCGTAAACGATACCACGTTCCACGGTTCGTTAGGATTTCCGGTTTTCCTCGGATCGTCGAGTCGAACTCTCGATCACGTTTATAAAGTACAAGCTCAGGGCGAAGTGGCATCGTTGTCGTTGATCCGTTCACCGAAGCGTTATATTATAAGCAATGTCGGATGGGGCTGTGTCGTGTATTGCAGACACGAGGCAACATTTCATCGCTGCAACGATGATTCTTGAAATCGCGGAGATTTTCCAGTGCGGTGGCCACGGTTCTTCTATTTTCCCCGGACGTGGCTCCGAGCATGCTCCCGAGTATTTAACTGCCAGCCAAGAAATCGCTCACAGCCGCCATGGCTACCGAGAGAGCGTAATGGTTTTCGTTTTATTTTATTCCATCGTGCTATAACGCTCCTACGGGATAGGTACCGTAAGAAACGCGTCCGCGACAGGTCGAAAGGTGAAAAACCGTAACGAAATAAAAACTAGCAGAACCGTGGGCGACGTTAACGACGACGATCCACGCCGTCGATGTCGAGGCATTAACAAGCCGCCCAGCTACAGAGGCAGTTTCCAATTAGAGTGCCTTTTTTGTTGATCCGCGACGTACACCGCGAGGAATATCCGAGCTGAACCGATAATTCGCTTAACGCGGCCGCTGCAACCCCCGATGGCTTTCGAATCACGCCGTTAATGCGTGACAGAAAATGAGGACGACGTTGTGCTTTCTGCTGCTTCGCAGCAGGCTACAACTTCCGTTCGAAGTGGTCCCCTTTTTCTTTGATTTTTAGCATTTCGAACGAAAGGATCGATTAAATTGAAATCTCTTTTTGAGAAATAGTAGACAGACTTGTGTGGAACAATCTCGAATGATTTGCAACGTTGTAATTGTTGTCTTCGAATATTTGTAAATAATTACAAATTGATAAATACAGTTGATTCCCTCGTACAAAAATACGTTGAGATTGTAGAATAAATTTTATCCGCGAAAGACTTGGTTTTCGAGATTATCGACTGTTTTATTATTGCGTATACAGAAACTAAACACAGTAAGAAACGAAAGAACACGTCAACCACCCCACATTAAACAGTCACACGTCCATAGAAAGGGATTAAATACAACTGACGCGGGTGGTTCCTGTTAATTGAACTCGAATAGTGCCCCTCGTCGCGATTAATTTGTCCGTCGACGACTGAAATTGGGTTTTCTGTCGGGTACGCGATACGGCGGCTAATTATCCACCGTTGATTTAGATTTAATCCGGGGCGAAGATGTAGCAAGGGATGTAATTTCGTAGAATCTTATTAGCGCTCACTAAAGGTAGCTCGTGTAAAATTCCTCTCGTCGCGTGTACAGTACGATTTATTTCCGGGCGTGAAAAGGAATCCTTAACGAACCCCGTTAATAACACGATCGTGTTAATAACACGGAGACAAAGGTGCATCGTTACGTTAAACCGAGGGCGAGGAACTTTGTGGAAGTTTCTATATTGCACCGGCACGCGTAGTCGCGAGCGTTTTCCTTTTCCTTATTTTTCTCCATTATCCGGCAGCTGTCGCGAAACTTCTTCCCGCGAGCTTCGGAAGAAGCTTCCCGGGAACGGGAAACTTTCGGGATCCGGAGACCTGCATCCGTTCATTTACCGCGAAGCGAACGACGCGACGCGCCGCGAGCACATTCAGGCCGTTTATAAAATTGCTGCCTCGACTTCCGCGACACGTTAGAATCTCCGGGCTGGAAAAGACAATTTAACGACAGGCCTCCAGTTCCCGTCGAAACGAAATTGTAACCGCCTCGATATAAACGACAGTTCGACCTTTAATAACAGGGTGGAGAGCCAGAGCTTTGGTGATTGCCGCCTGGAGCCTGTCCGCGCTCTTCAGCATCCCCATCATCTTCCTCTACGAGGAGAAACCTATACAGGTATTGAAAGCTTTATCAACTGCTCTGTGTGGAGAGTAAACGCGTACAGTTCTAATATTCGCGACAGTTTTCGGAAATAATTCAAACTAGACCGTAATGTTATGGTCGAAATACTGTGTTTCTTCTGTATTAGTGGAGTAAGCATTACATACTACAGTAAATCGTCGATGAGTGTTCAGACGTCATTCCCACCATTGGGGGCGAAGGGCGTGGAACCAGTCAAAGGCCCAGTGGTGGGGATGACGTCTGACCACTCAGTGTCAAAGAGCCTTCCAACACTTATCGACGATTTCCTGTATGTCTTGCTCAGAAGATAAAAAGAGAAAGGAATTCGATTCCTCTTGGTTATACGCCCCTAGGCCCATCTTGTCTGACACAATTGTAGATATAGAGCACATGTATTTTCATTATTGGCCGATACGGTAACATATTAGCCTCAAAGTCACACTAGACATTTTCTTAGCAACTCATAGTACATGCCAAGTTTCATTAAAGTCTAACAACTAAGAGTACTGGCCCGAGCGTTTTCCTGGCCAGTCCTAACAGACACAGAATTTCAATTCTGGAGTTACAATCACGCGATGTGTATTTCGATCGCGTGTTTTTCTCCAAACCGGTCGAATCACGAGCATAATCGGGCAGGATCGTTTGCCAGGGGAAGACTCAGTGTTGGATAGAACTGGGCTCGCCAACGCTTTGGAGGATCTACATGAGCCTGGTCAGCGTTACCCTCTTTATAGCTCCTACGCTGATAATAGGAGGCTGTTACGCTGTGATCGTGGCTACTATATGGTCGCAGGGAGGGGCGTTACGCCAGGGGCCTACCAGGGACACGAGAAGAGCCTCGTCCAGAGGACTGATTCCTAGAGCGAAGGTGAAGACGGTCAAGATGACCCTCGTGATAGTATTCGGTGAGTAGACGACCTGGACACCGTTTTAAAATTTTTCAACGAATTCCCGTCTCCGTCGCGAGGTCCTGGCGTTAATAGTCATATTTGGAACCGCATTTAACATTGTACATTAAAAAGTAACGTTACACGGTGCAGGTGTTTAAAATTCTTAAAGTTTATAGCTGGCTTTCTTTTTTTCATTCTCATGGAACGTACATGTCTCTGTTAACAAGCGTCTATAAATAACCGGTGGCAGTGAAAATATAAAATTCCACTTTTGATGGACGAAACGGTAAACAATTTCCGTTAGGCAGCGAACCTGTTATACGCATGAACGGTAAGCTATGAAGATATAAAAATTTAATGAACACGAGTAGTTCGGATCGAGATAACCGACAATTCATAACTGCGCTCATCGCAGGAGTAATATTGGATAAAAACGGAATAAAATTCACCGGCAAGAATAAAACACAAGAGCGTGCCTTCTCTTTTGTACGACTATATTTGCACGACGTAAAACCTTCCACTTGAAAGATAAAGGAAAAATGGTTTTCGAGATCCCGAACTGCCCGTATATTAAATACACGCGAGTACTACGTAAGTACAGCAAAGGAAAGTCGCGTTCTGTACCCACAGAGCTAAATCTCTGATCATAAATTCTCTCTATCGTATCGATTTCAGAATGCATACGAAATTCTACCCTTTATTTTAATGATCATAAAAATTATTTTATATTCTAACCACCCCAATAGTCTTTCATATACGGTTTATATTTCTCAAAATTAATGGAGCACAAGTTCCATTAGATATTATTTTTCATTTTCATATATCCCCTGAATACCTTCAAAGTCAGGCATGAAAATTCTAATTGTTCTAAAAAGTACTGCTCTATTTGTATAAATATAAATTTTCGTGTATCAAAGTCATTACATTAATGAAAAACAAATAGTTCTTTGGAACATGCTTACAGTGATTAACGAAGGTATTTAAACTATAAACTTCTATATCTATATCCTCGTAATACAGCTTTCGTACTTTGTGTTGTATATGATTTTACTATTTTTTAAATTTCTAGTAATACACATACATATATTTGTCCTGTGTTTAATGAACCTATGAGCAATCCACGGTTCCAGTATTTTCGTTGCTCTCCGGTTGCTGTAATTTTCCGCGTGACGCCATATCATGGCAGAAATTCTTCCATTCCCTCAATACTTTTTACATCGTGATAAAAGTGAAATCTCAGAAAACCAGCATGAATTCCGATTAATGCCATTTTCATTAAAGCCACTTGTTTCTTTCCTGCGAGATCAATAATTACAAGGAGCAAAGATCGCCTAGAGGACATCCTTAACCTAACAAATTGAATGCAGTATGGTGTAAAAATCCCAGCCAGAATTGTAATAAAATCGACTCAGATCAATCCGATTGTTTAATGTTGGCAAATGAAACTGGCAATTAAACGGAATTATTTGCGCTGTAACTAACCCCTGAGGCATTCCTCGACGATGACGACAAAGTCGATACATGTCGAATCCTCTGTAGAAGCCTCGAAGTCTTTGTTGCTCAAAGGACCGTCGCCTCTCCTTTATTCCTCGAGGGAACGGTTTTACGTGTACCAAGGATTGCTTGGGCTAATCAGATTCGCTTCCCAGTGGTTCTTTGGCTTCAAGTTTCCTCCTTTTTTCACCTGACATAGACCACTTTCGTTTGAAACGTATCAAAGGTACAACATCGGCCGAACAACTCCCTTCGGTGCTGTCTTTGACACCCAGAACACTATCGTCGAGAACCGCGTATCATTTTTCTGCAGTGAAATTGACTAGGTACCGGCGTACCTGCCGCGTGAAGTAATTTAAATACTAATTCAACCCTTCCAGATATTGCTATCTCGAAATCGGCGTAGAATAATTCCTCTAATCGTCGTATAATCATTTCCTCTCGTAAACTGTCCAATTCGAGGTAGGTAAAGACAGAAATTTGTAACAGTATTTCATTTGCATAAATGTCTTTCATCTCTCCACTGTATACATATACAATGCGCTCAGAGAACAGTGGTACGAGAAACGGATAATTTTATAAACGAAAACAGGTCGAAAATGTGCAACAGAAGTCTTTCTAACGCACCTTGTTTCACGTTACGTTACTTCTCCGACTAATTTTTCGCTTAACGACATTCCCATCCGGACTGAAGAACCACCTACTGTGAACCTAGTTTACGTCCTATTCGCATCTTCATAATATTTACATGATAAGCATTGTTGCCGTCGACCCAATTGCGATGCAACTTAAGTGGTCTGTACGGGGGGTTCAGCGTACCCCAAATTCACGCACGACTCGCATTCCGTAACAACAATCGACCCGTTCATCGACTAAGAAAAGGATATATCGTACAATGCGTTCGTTCATGCAGTTATTCGGGGGCTCTTAGACGGATCTGATCGAACATTAGCGGTTCGCGTAGTCTCTTTTCAGACAAGGGGTCGTTAAGGGTAACCGAATGCAACACGGTAACTCGAGGCTGCGGTAAATAACGCACGCAACAATTTTGAAATTCAACGCGGTAAAAAGAAACTAACATGCGATGGAAAAAGTCGAATTACTGCAGAGAATTCATTATCTCCTAAATATTATACTTCTACAGAATTCATGATCAGGTTACAAATTAGTTCTTGTTACATTTCCACTCACTAAACTACAGATCCGCTTATGAATCACCAAAATCTTCGCTGCAACGTTATGAAACACGTAAGAAGTCCACATTCTATATCAAACCCATAAACAATAACAATAACTTTCGACTCTAAGATCGTAACCACCATCTCCCTAATACTTGATACTTCCTTTTACAAGAACAGGTACAAGCAATAAGAAAAATACAAGCCAGAAACGCGTTAGTTTTCGAAGCAGTATACCACCCTCGGAGCAATTTCGGTAATAAAAAGTTTAAATGAAACGACTTCAACGGAGATTTTAGGACGAGTATACGACGAAACATTATTAAGGAGATTCCGGGAGTTGTTCGGGGACCGTTACGTCGATAGAGAGGAAATGTCGCGAGGTTCCCGAAGTTCGCAGACAAGAAAGCTCGATTCTCGTAAACCGTTCAGACCGCCGACATTTTCTCTTCCCCCTCCCCTACCCTTCCCTGTATTTCGTCTGGTCGAGTGGCTTCGCGAGAAGATGAAACTCCGGGCGAACGCGAAGAGTCTCAGCGTCGTTATCCGCAACTGCTTCGGGTTATTCATGCCCCGCCACCTTACGCCGAAGGACCCAACGTAAACTTTTATCCGATCCGCCGATGCCCTGGTTAATCAGTCGTTTTATAGTGTCCCTGTTTGCTCGACGGTGAAACAACCACGCACCAGTTTTACGGTTTTCGTATCGAAACGCTTGGGCCGATCGCTGAGGAATTTTCGTCGGCCAACGAACACGGCCGTGAAAGAATTCTAATTTTCTAGAAGACAAAACTTTTTCATTTTTATTATTAATCCATGAGATACGCTTGAGGTTGCTAGAATATTTTCAAATGTTACAAGTGACGGTATTGGAATATTTGAGGGGGGTTGTTTTTGCCAAACATCTTCGTTCATGCCTTTTTCAGTTTCGTCGCGAAATCATGAATTATCGAGATTCGAGCTGAACGATTGCGAGGATTAATTTCCTGGTGAAAGAAAGTATTAACGGATTCGCTGAAGATATCGACGTGGAGGAGGCGGGGATTGACGGTGAAATCAAAGTGCTCATATTGCCGTTCAATCGTTTCAGTATTCATTCTCTGCTGGAGCCCGTACATAGTGTTCGACCTCCTTCAGGTTTATGGATACGTGCCGGAAACGCAGACGAACATCGCCGTGGCCACGTTCATTCAGAGCTTAACACCCCTAAACTCCGCTGCCAATCCGATTATATACTGTCTCTTCAGCACGTCCTTCTGTAAAACTGTACGGTGAGTATCGTGTACACGGTTTTCTTTTTACCTTCGATTAAGAATTAACGCTCTTAGAGCAACAAAAATGAATTCAATGGAAGTAAGCAAACGATATTGCATAAGATGGTTAATAGTACAAAAACCGATGGTCTCGCCTTAACCCAGAATTAAATTTCAACCGTAAATATTATCCTAACGATAAATACAGAAAATTATTCATCCAAGTATTCACGTATATCTACGAATTCGTTACCAAACAAATCGTCCGTGCTGATGAATTAATGAAATCAATTGAAGTATGAGTAATTCCGACGGAAGTGTTTACAAAGGCCCGAAATATAACGATGATGATGCGATAGGAACATGCAGGCGATCTCGTGGGTTTCCGGGTGGTGCGCGACGAATCCCCATCACTGCTTCGGGACTGGTGGCCCGAACAGCAGCACCAGAACGACAGTGACAACATCCCTGACGGCTCATTCTTCGCGAAGGAGCGGTCATATCGCGATGCTCCACTCGACCGCCAGGAAACGGGTGATGGTATCCCTGGTATAAAAAGTGAACGATGTAAACGTCATCCCAGCATCTAGGTTGATCCCCTCGGATCGAGCTGGGAGCTTCGTTGCTCCGATGCCTCGTCGTTTAAAGCTTCGACGAGGAGACCACGTATGCGCCGCATCTCCGACATTATGTTCCATCGATACGAGCCATCGAGGATTCCCTCCCCTGAGAACGTTGTCGCCTTTTTTACACACTGGAAACATCGAAGGATCGCAACGCTGCGAACAGACCACTCATCCCCGTAATAGTTGCGCCCCAAATTTTCGGGAGAACTAACGTTGTTCCGATACAAAAGGCGATCTCCGGTATGACGGGCGTTAAAGGAACATTATTCAGGGGACGACGATTTTGTGTGTGTGTGTGTGTGTGTGTGGGTGTGTGTGTGAGAATGATATAAGTTTTTTTATTCCCGTATTTACGTGATCAGTATTTTGGATCTGGTCGTGTGTCACGAATGCCTTTCATCTTCTACCCGGTTTGCCATACTCTCTCGCGTTCGCTACCATGTGCCATACGCCGTGAAATCGGAATCAACGATTATTTCAAATCATCCCAGAAACCCCTCATTTCCGGGAGACGAAGCTATTTTGGGACACTTTGTATTTCTCCTACCAATAGCTTATTTACTGGAGGTTACGAAAGAGACTGCAAGTACACCGATAGTAGACACCCCCCGGGAGATGTAAAGAATGCTTAATCTTTATAAGCCTGGAAACGATGATGACACGTGTGTCACTTTGATTCAAGCGCGATAATTTCGACGTTACACAACCGAGGGAAAGGAACCTGAATAGAAAAATAAAAATACGCGCGAATGCGACCCGATGGGATGAATTCCCGTGTAATGAAGCCGTGCATTAGACGTTTAATAGAAATTCACGAGGATGAAAGGGACATTAGCGTGGCCATCGATCAGCGTGGAAAATGATACGCTCAAAGTATACATGTACATATATACATAGCGAATGGACGGCAGCTTCGTGTATATACTTACGTATAACCATAAATGTGTAATATATTAATGTATTCCATCCGTTGCCGATCGTCGCGAAAACGTTCGCCCCCCGCGGCCGTGTGATCCTTGCCGCGATCAATGCGATGATAAATCTATACCGGTGCTGAAGTCAGCGATGGGAGCGATACTTCTCAATTAGCATCGATCCCTAAAGCGTGGTAGTCTCGGAAGCATCAGTAAGTGATCATCCATCAAGTGCCATGGTTAACTTTAAGTGATACAGTAACCCTTCGAAAAATTAAATCACTCTCGAGAAATTCGAATTTCAACAAAGTTTCTGTTAATCGTTGGAACGTTCGAGGTGACTAATTTAAGGTTTTCTAATCTGACGATACCAAGGACTTTTCCTGTCGACACGCTTCGGTGCTCCTAAGCGAATGATCGAAAATTGTGAAATTGTTCATATATACGGGGAATCGAATCAGTCCCATCGCTAGCTAGAATTTCTCGAGGGGAATCGAGGCGTCCCGCGAATGCTTGCACGGTAAATCGAACGACCGCCTGTTCGTACCTTCGAGCGATTGGCGTCTTCTCCATCGTGTACGCTCCGTCAACCGTGTCGAAGAAGGATTACACCTCGATCGCGCAGAAAAGTTCACGCTGAGCCATGAAATTTTGATAAAACTCTCCGATCCGGAGAATCTGATACTTCAATGACCTTCAATTAACATTCTAAAGATGTCCACCGTCTCGATTCTTCGGCTTTCATTTACCTTTTCAACCTTACCATAGAAGCTAAATAATTCTTCTCGACACAAGTTTCAGAACACATTTTATGGAGTTTCGATGTTACTTGCGCGAACGTATTTGGTCCCATCGCTAGTGAAGAGAGTAAGTACAAGAGAAGGCAGCTCGCTGGGAACGTGATAAAAGAAGTTGTATAATCGTCTAGAGGAAACCGTAGAGAAACTTGTATTTGTAACTCGTCTATTTATTATTTATTGTGCCCCGTGCGACGGGAAACAGGAGAGAAAGAATTATTCGTCGTGCTGCGATATTCGTATTTTCACTGGTGAAATATATATATATATATATATATAATTTGTACATATTGTCGAATAAACTCGTCCATAATGCGCATTCCATCTACCGACCCTTCGTGTACGAAAATCCGACCCGTTTCGAATTACGGAAGCATTTATGGTGGGGTGATTCCAAGAAACTGGGGCGTCTCATATCTCCTTTTTATTGGTAGACAGAGAGAAAAAATGCCGGAGGAAAAAGTCGAATGGTTTGAAGGGGTCTGACAGCTCACCGTTTCGCTTTTTATTTAGACGAAACGATGCACTTATGGGTTTGCGATTGCACTTCGCTCTTAATACTTCCACCCATCGCACCCTCGTTCAACACCGACTACCATTTTGCGTCCTACACTTTATTACGTCGCATAAACTTTTACAATGTTAAATGTTTCGTACGAACACAACTTCGTTTCTATAAAAAAATATTTAGACATCTTAATTATACATTACAATTACAGCTAAACGTGAGTTAAACCTATCTGTGAATTCATCGACTGAACATCCAGAGTTCTCTAATTCTTCTTTACTTGGTTCCCAACCGAACCACATGAAATCTGTAAAGTAACATTATATCGACCATTTTATAAATCACGTATAATCTCCGAATAGTATTCATTAACAAATACCGATTATTTTTACAGATACATTTCAGTAGCTCCGAGACCAAGTGGTAGAAGGTCTTTCCCTTACATCGCTTTTTCCCCTAGCGGAGACCGAATTTGCTCGTCGGTGTACACCGAACGCCCGTTAATTCTCCAAAGAACGGAATACGTAGGATCAATTTATTGCTCAATTTAACGTTTCATCGTATGCTAATCGTTTCAGGAAAGACAGCTCCATCGTAATTACGCCGAGCCGATCCAATTAACGCGTTTGTCTGTCGCGATAGGTAATTATGTGGTGTCCCGAAAGCCTCGATTTCGGAGCAATTAGTTAACGGTTCTGGTGCTGATACCCTAACAGGTGATACTTTATCAGCCTACGCCTTCCGTTCCCGTCTGTTTTTGTAATAATTCCCCGTGGCGATATGATACGCGTTTCCAAGTTCGTAAAACGTTTTACAGCGTGCATTCGCCCGGACGAAGCGAAATAAAATTTCGGTCGCGTTCCGTCGTTTCTCCTTTTTACAGCCTACCTTGTTCTCTGGCTGTAAAATTTCAGCCTGGTGGCGCCAAGCAATGATAAGTCGGATGGGGGAAACGATCATTTTTCCCGGTTCATTGTCGCTTACCTATTTACTCGGTCGCTGGTCAGAACGATTCGTCGCTGGTACCATCGGATCCGGAATTAATTCTAATCCGCTTGCACGTTCACCGACGCCATTTATTCATGCACCGACAAATCATCGAGGGATTCGTTTCGGATTGTTGAACCGAACGTGAACGCCCGATCTTTGTCAACGTGCTGATGATGATGGTTCACAGTCGACAGTTCGAATTTAAGCACAGGATTTAATATTCGGCTTTTAAGATACAAGATTCAAAGTCCTCTAATTCCTTTGAGTCCTTCGATTCCTTTGTTCCTAAATACTAGATCAATATTAGTACTTAATACATAATGAGAGCACTATTGTACGAATTATAAACAATTCGTAGTGGCTACGTAGAATACTTGTTACTCACTGTATAGGTAATCTTAAGGTACGATACAATGTTACGTAACGATGATACGATACGAAGTACGCAACAAATGGATACGCACCTTAATAGACGTACAGTGTCGTACAGGGAAACAAAACATCAACGAAGATCGATTGCAAAAAATTACCCGCAATAATTTCAGAATAATGAAGACGTGAGGATAAAATACGAAACCTTCTTTTTCTCCTACTAAAAGGACTACTATCGATATTATGTGAGTATCAACGGAAGACGAGTTATTTCCCCTGGTTCAGGTCATACGGGACCTGTTGATCCCAGGTTCGGCTTCAAGATCAAGGTCTCCATTCTGACGAAGGAGAAGGAAACTCTAAAGTGTAATTAAAAAAGAGAATTTACGGTCCACGATGTCTTGTATACGCTATCAATCGACGAATCCTTCGAGGGAACGGTGCTACTACGATGGCCAATACAATCACTACACCCCGCCTTCCTACTCGTCGAGAATTCGGCCGCAGGATCCTTATCAAAACGGTACGAAATTTAATTATTGATTAATTAGAAAAACATGGATTTTATGCAGTTTTAGTATACAGAATGCATCATTGAGTAATTGAAATCATTAATCTCGTATTACACTTTACCCGACTCTGCATTCTTAAAAAAATTAACTTCATTACAAGTTACAAATTAAACTATTGTTTGTGTCCACTAAATTTCAGACTATTACACCGGATGGAGGCCAGTGGAATTCCAAGGACACAACTCCGAAACCTCCACGGCAGGTATATAAGAGCGCACACAGTAAAAATTTCTATTCATTTTCGCAATCCTCTGTACTCGTTATTATCGCCACGTTCCTGAAGTATCAGAAATTTGGCACTCTGATTATTATACAATGTTGTCGCAATAATAGTCAGTGATCAACACAACCAGAATTGTTCGTAGCCAGGGGTGACCTGCCATTTCCGGATCCGCGGATGCAAACCGGAAGGATGGCAGTGTGCAAGCAGGAAAAGCAGCTAGACACGCTGGTCTTTGAGAAAATGCAAACTAGACTGAAGTTCCTCGAGGACAGTAATACCGTAATACAAACGCGTAATCAAAATCTTGTCGCTGAGAACAAAGCCCTCTTGTCTCAGTGAGTACTAACACGCGAACAATGGGCGATCTTAATCGATATTCTCTTCGGGCTGTGCGTGAATGTACGAATGGACGGACGACGAAAAACAGGAGTGTAAAAGACAAACGCCTTTGTCTATGTTTGCATCATCAACAAAGCGTCAAATTTTTTTCCAGTAGAGCATCTTTAAAAACTTCATTCGTATAAAGCTAAAATCTCCCGCTGCCATTGAAACCATAATTTTTCATTTAATTCTCACGTATTCCTTTCGTGCACAGTTTTAATAATATCTAGCAGTTCAGATTACAAAAAATCACCTTCGTTGTGCGCGTAAGTTTGGCTTGAAAACTGTGATTGCGTGTCAAAAGATTGGAAGAAGAGCGAAACGAGGCTAAGAGGCTCGAGGATAGACTGGCGTCTCAGCGAGAGGAACTTGATCTTGAGAAGCTGAAGCTGCTGGAAACCAGGGAAACAGCGGAGCAAGTTGGTGCATAAATATTCGTGCATACTTACTTACCTCCGATTAAAAATCAAAACTCACCGCGGTTTTAGAGCCTGAAAACTCCGAACGTCGAGGCGAATGGAACATCCACGACAAATATTATTTCGAAGCTCGATCGAGGGGTGCAGATTTGGGCGGTGTGCATGGGCTGCCAAAGAAAATTGGAGAGCTGCGAGAAATTACCGCCCACTGTTACCATCACCAAGTAAATCTGTGATTTTTTTTTTACCTATTAACACAAGGTTTTAGCGTATTACCAAAAGTACAGGATAGGGTCAATTAATTGATGTTCATCGATTCCCTTTCATATCCTCATCCCCAATACCATAGTCACAGTGCCTATCAGAAATCGACAGGGACCGTCGAATGCGTTCTCTTTGAGGACACTGTTGGTCTGTCGAGAGCAATTAATACGACGTTGACGTAGAGTTTGACGCTCTGACGTGCAACCCATTTAGCCACCTTCTGATCTAGGATTAACGAAAGGTTTGCCTGTGATTTACCAGATTACGTTAATCAACGATCATTATTCGAGTTAGTTACGCATTCGACGATACCTTCCTGATTGGTATCGCTATTACAAACCTTAAAATCACTGTTCAGGCATTCATGTATTAGTCAGGACCTTTTGATAAACGCGATTCTAACGTTCACGCAAGCATTGCGGCTGTTTTCGTCCGAGATCGAATAACACAGTAATACAATACAGTGGCTCACTATTATGTACAGGATATCCTGTTCCTGTTTCGGTTCAATAATCAAACCAAAAGAAACTGTATTGGTCAGCTTGCGAAACGGTGAGATAACTTTTCCAAAAAAGCCCGACTCACTAGACTGTGGAATTTTATGCAAAATAACAATTTTTCAAGTGATTTGTAAATATAGATGTGAAGCTTGAATTTTCTTTCATTTCTTAATGATTTTATTATTAGATCCGATGTTAACTTTACCATTTGTCACATTTCTAATAATAACCATATGATTCCGTAACGTGAAACCTTAAGAATCTGAATTAATCGATAGAATCGACCTATAGAAGTAATAAAGAAGGACATTTTCTTAAGAGACTCTTTCTTTCGATCTTATTTCGTACGTCGCTACAGATCGGAACTGGAGGTGTTGGAAAAGGATATGCAAACTCTTCGCGACACCATAATTGCTAGAGAAGAAGCGTGGGACAAGGCGATGGAACGCGAGCAAAATTACAGGCAGCAACTGACTCGATTGATCACAGAGACAATCACGGCTCGTCATCTTTCCGAAACGCGTCACGAAGAACTCCAGGCCGTGACGAAAACTCTGTCGGTAAATATTTAAGTGGAGATTTAAATGTTTCAACGGAATTGAATAACCTTGGGATTTATTACGTGCCTCCCTGAAGAAACAGAATTCATATTTTCTATTCATTAACTCGTTGTTCAATTTTCTGCTTACAGGAAAAAGAATCGGAATTGAAGTCGCTCCAAAAGGACAACCTCTACTTGAACAAGCTAATAGTGCTGCTGTATAACTGTCAACAAAGGTAACAGGGGATTAGCCTCTCGGTTTTCATAATAAAATACGTTCTAACGCACACATAGAAAACAGAAAGGACACGCGAAGTAACGTTGACGTAACAATCGAACGAAGTAAACCGTGCACTCTATAAAATTGCGAGATTCGTGTGTCTCTCTTGTATGGAGCATTAAATCCAAGAATATCTCAAGCATCCAAATCCGATTTTACCGGAGCTTGGTACGAACTTCTAGCTTAAAAACTTTTCCTTTAATCGATAATTAGATCTGGACAGTTTACGCGGAGGGGAGGGGGCGGGGGAAGCTAAGACTGTGCTTCACTCGACTGAAAGATCACCGGGGATCCTCCTCTCGGTTCGTGTTCACTGAGCTGCGCGATTACGGACGAAACAAAGCCAGGGGACAATGGTCTAAGTAATGAAAATTGTTGAGATACCGTATTCCTTGCTCATTAACTACGGGATCGCTTCGAGTATTTTTAACTTGATATCGTTCATTTAAAATTTGTCAATAGTCGTCTGTTCTCGTGTAACTTTTGATTACATTTTCCTGGCCAGCGTTCGCTGTGCAGTTGCCCGTTAGACGCCCGTCACTCAAGATCAGGATGAACATTTACCGTGTTGAAAGTGAATTATTTCTATGTCTGATAAGAAACTAAACAGAGGAAATATTTTGCATGTAATCGGTTAATTTAGTTAATTACGATGCCACGAGTGATATATTCTAAAACACGAAGTAGATAGCTCTACCTCGCACTTTTGCCAATAATACTCGTTACCTGTCAATCGAGGCTGACAATTATCTATTTCAGTGTCATCGTTCAAGAAGTTTAACAAGCTCCATTTTCTTAAATTACTTCTCCGAGAAGAACGATAGAACTGTTTTAAGTAAAGGGAAGGAATAAGATTTCTGTTTTACTCAGTTTCGTGCAAGTTTGCTCGGCACAGCGTATCGCGAGTAATTTCGTGATCGGTGACATATCTAATCCTCCGAGGGACAAGACGATAACGTTGAAAGAGGAAAAGAATGAACGCGCGGGAAGTATCCAGTTGGACGGAATTAAATAAATCAGAAGGGGTATTCATTAGAGTCGGAAAGGGGGCCGGCAGAGCGCAGCTTTCCTGAAAAGGGAGGAAAAAGAGAAATCGTTAGATCGTAGCGCGGAGGTTCGCACTTTTTGTCAGGGAGGAAAGCTCTCGCAACCCCTATCGCTTAGACCCCGAGCTACACACCCCGCATTTTAGTCGTTTCATTAGCGGAACGCCCGGACGTAATGTAACGCCGAGAATGCCGCTTCAAATTTCGCGTAACGAGACACGAGCTTGCGAGCTTCCTGCAACGTAGGTATGTCGATAGATTCCCCTTGTTGGTCCTTCTTTTCTATTCAGCACGAGAAGCAGCACGAGCGATGTGAAACTACGATCGATCCTCTTCACTCTACCTGCACTGTTCGTCCTGGAAATATCCTGAATTTCCCGATATTCAAATTGGAACAGCATTTCTGCGTGATAGATATTGAAACATCTTGCCAGGAATCGTTCGAAACAGTGTTCCTCTAAAGGGAAGACGGTATTCATAATAATTATACAAATTCTGGACACAGTTTTGCTGCTCAATATTCAAAATAATGGGGAAAACGGTCGTCGAAGTCTTTGGAATTTCCAAATTTATATCACAAACTGTCTTTCTTTGATCTAAAAGCCAAAATTAGATGAATACAGTAGGGGAAAAACGACCTTCTGAAACAATCACGTGACACGGTAGTTAGGTTCCAATAAAATTTCATTTTGTATCATGTGTTAATTATTTGTCGAGATACATGGACAGAAAGAGCGACCTAATGAACATCAACTTGTATTTTAACTCGTACTCAGAAGTCATCAAAATGAATGAAGGTAGATACAATTAGCTTCTTGACGAAACATTTTAGTAGGTACGTGATATCTTTCGACTTCGGTTCAGTTTTAGAATAGTGTATGCAGGTTTATCAAGAAACTCTTCGTGCGCACTGTTTCGCGGAAGAAGCTTTAATCTCAAATTACCTTCTGAAACGTGGTGTTCACTTGAACAAATAAATTGAATAAAGTATTTGATATGTATCACGAATTATGTATTCAGTTATACGCTAAAATGAAGTTTCTGACTATGTATGCGTTTGGCGTTGCTAGCTTTGAATTAAATCTTAGCCGTGGCGCTTTGCTGCAAGAAGCGCCCTTAGATTTTCGAAACTCTCCAAAAGAAATCGAAATGTCGTGAAATAGGCATGATTTTGTATGATTTGTAGCCGCAAGGGAAAGGATGAGTGTCAAAGAGGCAGCTTGACAGTGGACATAAACGAGAAGGACCAACGATCCATCGAGGAGATCGTCCGACGAATGTCGAGCGGAAAGAACAAGTTGAAGCTAAAGCCAAAAAGTGCGTGTTCAGAAAAAAGCCCGAATTATGGGATTCATCAGGCCAGTCCTCGTGACAGAAATGCGAAAACAATGAAAGATCAGGCAGGTTCTCTGAAAGAACCGAAACGTTAAAAGTGTTTATTTTAATTTTCAATTAATAGAAAATCTAATGTATTTTTGGGATGTTGTATTTTTATAAGTGTAACTTTATATGTTTAGTAATTACTTTGCTTGGACAATCTGTATCTCTGTTGCCTTTAATAATATCGAATTTAAATCAATGTTGGTGTAGAAACCATTACAATAAAAAGAAAATAATAATTTTAGAAGAATAGGTTGTATAGTTTCGAAGTAATCTTTTGTTACATCACAGGCAATTCTGTGACTCCACTGTAATTGCATGTGTTTGCGGCCGTGAACAGTGCAACTACCAATGGGTGTATTAAATTTTACAACGTAAATAATAAATTTGTTAAAACATTGTTGTGCTTTATTATCTGTATCGAAGAGAATGTATGTGAAGGGGAATCTAAATGAATTAATTATTTGTATGAATTAATTTATTTTGGGTATGCATCGATTTGAAAACATCGTATAATTATTGTGCAAATTGATTAACAGTATTTTAATTATTCTGTGATCCTCCACACTATATTTTAGCTCAAATAAATATTTAATAGCATTTTCATAATCTGTCTACTAATTGTATTTTAGCGAGGTATTCTGTCTCTAAGATATGCAAGTATCTCTTCCGTAGACTTAGCTAAAATTGCTTGTCTTGGTTGTTTGAAATAATTTCCGGATAAAGATAATGTTCTGGAAAAGAAAGCGTTTTATCTTACTTCGAAGAAATGAAATACATTTAGTTGAACTTACCTTAGATTCTTCAAATTGCCAAGATTTGGTGGTATGTAGCCAATGTTATTATTAGCCAAATTCAATATTGCAAGTTTTCGCAACTTTTGTAATGATGACACATCAATGTCCGTTATTGCATTGTCATTTGCTATAAATATTTCCAATGGTTCAACCTCGTATATAGATTCTGGTATTTCTTTGTACCTGTGTAATGTATTTTTATATGAACAGATAAATTACTGATAATGAAACATAAAATAAAATAAGCTTGATTCAAATATATGTAAAGTTTTGTGACTGTCTATATATATATATATATAAAATACCTGTTAGATGAAATATTAATTTCTCGCAAATATTTCAGCAGACCAAGGCTAGAAGGGAGTGATTCCAACAAATTTTTACTTAAATCCAATGCTTGCAGGTACTTATATTTTTCGCCAATCCATTCTGGTATATGTGTTAATTGATTGGATGTTAATTTCAAATCGCCAATGCTTGTAATTATAGATAATTCATCAGGTAAATCAGATAGCTTATTTCTACTTAGATCCATTGTGCTTATATCAGCTTTGCACGCATTTTCCAGGACTTCTTGTGGTAATTCAACAAGGTTTCGTCCAGCCAAACTAAGTAATTTCGTACTCTGCATTGTATATCTACAACATTATATGTATGAGATTTAATTATTACTTACTATTAATAATGTACTCGTACCCAAATAAACAAAGTATGTGTACATACTTATCCGGATAAACACTTGTATTGCCTTCTGAGACTATATATTCTTTTGTACTTAAATTTGTACTGGTAACACTCTGTCGTATATGCTTTAAAATACGAGATGTACCACATCTTATGATATCGGTTCTTATATTTTGTACATTATTTCCATCGATCACAAATTGTTTCAAATTTGGCATTATACCAATATAATTTGATACTCTATACAAGTAAGAATCGTTTTTTAAAGATTTTGTGATATGCAGTAACAAAATTATGCATACAAAGTTACATACATAGTAATACTGTTGTGTGATAAGTCTAAAATTTCCAGATTTACCAACTTTATTATCTCCTCTGGTATTGTATCAATTCTATTGTTCCCTAAAGTCAGCGTTCTTAATTGCCCTACTCCTTCCAAACAAGACATATCAAGTTCCTAAAAATTATTAAAATGAACATTGAAAATTCCCTATTATACACAGTATTATAGGTAATATACAAAGTTTTACAAAATAAGATCTATGTATATATACCTTGAATAATACTGAATAATACATACTATAATATTATTATCAGCCAAATGTAGTACTCTTAGCAGTGTACAACCAGATACATCAGGAAATGTTGTTAATTTGTTCGTTTGCAACATTATTGCTTCTACCTTTCTCAATTCCCCAAAAGGTGGCAATATTTCTAACTCGTTATAACTTGCATCTAACTTTTGCAATGCTATTATCAAAAGAATACGTATTTATTAAATTCTTGTATTACATACATTCGAAAAATAAAATATAAAACTATCTTTTTTAGACAGATATGTGTTAAATATGTTAGACAATAGTTAAGTTCTTATAAAAGTGAACTAATACCTCTCATACTCATTAAATCAGGTGGTAATTCTTTCAACATATTATGACTAACATCCAAGGAAATCAATCGTACCAAATATCCCATTCCCACTGGCAGTTCAGATAAATTGTTATATGATAAGTCCTACAAACACAAAATACTATAGAAGTGCTGCTATTCACAGATGTATTAGTACATGTAAGCTGTATTATAATGTACCAAATGGGATAACATTATTAAATCACCAATCGCAGGATCCAGTTCTATTATACCATTGTTTTTTAAATATAATTCTTGTACTTCATTCAGTTTATAGAATTCATGAGGTAATTTCTTTAATTTATTATTTGATACATTTAGAACCTTTAATTTAGATAAATTTCCAATTTCAGGAGGCAAGTCTTCCAATAAATTATTGTGTAACTAAAATTATATGGTTTCAGTATACATAAATTTTTGTGATAAATTCTTAAAATTCATTCTAATTACATTCAAAATGTTATTAACACATACACGTAGTGTAGTCAATTCTGATAAACATTCTATTTTTGAAGAAATTGTAGTTAAGCTGTTGCAGCTTAAGTCCAATATCTTAAGAGGTTCCTGTTCCCACCACCTCTCATTTGTATGTACATAGTCAAGTTCAAAATGTAACTCCTTTACCTCTTCTTCTGTTAAATCATTTATATTCCATATTCTATTAGGTACTGCAACGAATTTTATTAACATTAATAGATTATTACATCTTGAATAATATACTCCAGAATATTAATTTACCATATACACGTACATTGTACGACATCACTTACCTTAAGATATGTTTATGTTGCACATGTATGCTATGATCATAAATACTGCTTGATCTATGGCATTATTCACAGATTAACATGCAAAGCTATCTATGACTTGAAATAAAGAAATGAATTTAAAATTATAACTTAAGTACATGTTCAATTCTTTTTGATACATTAATAGAATAGGCATATTTAATGGATGGGTGGAGAAATAAAATAAAATAAATGGTATGTAATGAGATATATTTATAATAATTTAAATTTCTTAACAAAAATAAGACAATGAAGAAATGACAATGCTAAAAAGCATAAAGCAGGTAGTGCATGTTTTTTTACACGGTAGCTTTTATCTATAAACTTTTATATTTATGAGTTTATTATCAAATATAATATGGATGAGAAATCTGAGGTATAGCATACATTTTATTAAAACTACAAAAATGAAACAATCATTAATCCTATATGAGATAACAGTACAACCTTTATTCATGGTACTGATATAATCAGTACTACTTATAAAATATTTGACTTTACATTACTATCACTTAAGATATCTCTTCATAACAAACATTGAAACTGATATGAACAGAAAATAGTAAAAATAACAATGTAATACAAATATAAACAAACATGCAACATTAGCTTATTTACGAGTGCAATATCGAAGTAATAAGCTTCCGCATGATCATCGATGTATGTCTAAATAACATTTAAACAACAACTATCTCATTTTCAAATATTCCAAATACCCGTGCATAGCCCTCTTGAAGACAGATTTAAATTTCCAGTTTTTCTTGCAGATATAATGTTAACCTCGGACAATTCGGCGTTATCTTCATTTTTTGTTTGTTGTTTGAACACCGCTAAATGATTAATTTTTTTTTTCACGCCACTCATACTGTACTTATTGCGTACATTTTTCACAGATTCACATCCCTCATACAGGATGAGTTAATGATGAACATTGATGAACATTGATGAACATCTCTTCACTTTATACATAATAACAACACCGACTAGGTATAGGATAGATCTATCATCTTATGGGACTTCGTGGTCTCATGTTCTGAAATACCGATAGTGTAAAAAATCAGGGTATTTTCTGCTGCCCTCTATATTATGAGAACAGTGAATTTGTGAACTACGTTAAATCCATTCGAGCTTAACTAGTCTGATTTTTTTTTGCGCACAAAAAAGTTATTGCGTTTAATATTCTTTTTATGAATATGTACTTATATGTATTATTATGTACATTTGAGTAAATTATTTTATTATTTCATTGTTATTACAACAGTTTAACAGTGACAACGAACGCATGTAATTATCAAATATCGGACTAATAGTATATTTTTATTCTATATTATTACATATAAGTGAGTAATACGTATCAAAAACGTAATCGAAACACAGATTTTTATTACACCACAAACATCGCATAAAAGATATTTCGTTATATTGACATTTGTAATAATTATGGATGTTGCGGGGAAATCAATATTATTGACATTATGGAATATTTTTTTGTCTGCAACCAATTTTGAAACGAACTAGGTGATCATTTTGTCATACACAGATGTTTATAAATGGTGATGAATGAATTGTTATTGTTAGTCTTGTTTTCTCAAAAGTGAATGATAATTAATAATAATAAATCGAAGAGATCGCTGCCGCATGTGGCAAACCGATTCTCTGTTCGTTCGTTGTAAACGTATTAAAAAAAGGTCTTCTCACTTTATATATAGCAGGTTTGGGTATTTTTTATTTGAAATGAAAACTACAAATAAAAAGAGCCAATATTTATTTCAAATAAAGGAACAGATAAGTTTATTTGAAAATAAGGATGTATGCAAATAAATTCCAAAATCTTATTTCAGAAATAAATTATTTATTTGCAGTCTAATTGATTTATTTGCCAAATATTTGGTTATTTAAAATAATAATGCACAATAAAAAATAATAGATTTTCGTATATAATGAATATATTTGTCATTGTAAATTAAAAAATATATTGTTTTTTCGAATCTGCACAACCTCGGTGAAATCGGTATGGAACACTTCGGAGGTTTATTTTTATTTTATTACTAATAATTCTATGATATATGTACATTGCATATATTTGTAGCATCCTGAAAACGGGTATTAACGAGCCATTCCACGTCGAAACGCACAGAACTGCGATCTTAA